TTGATTTAAAATTAAAAAATTTATTTAAATTTTACTTTCAATTAAATAACCCTTCAGCTTTTTCCCTTACTTTCAAAACCCTTTCACCCTTTTCGTTACGTCACACCCAAAACTTCGTTTATTAGTTAACCCATTTTAACATCATACTTATTTTACGTTACTGTCACATCTACCTTCATTTTATTCGTCACATAACCTTACTTTACTACTGTCACAATATCTTCATCTTTACATTACTGTCACATCATACCTTCAGCTTTACGTTACTGTCACATCATACCTTCAGCTGTTATGTACGTAACATCATTGACCTCAGCTTACGTTACTGTCACATCATACCTTCAGCTTTATGTTACTGTCACATCACACCTTCAGCTTTATGTTACTGTCACATCATACCTTCAGCTTTACGTTACTGTCACATCATACCTTCAGCTTTATGTTACTGTCACATCACACCTTCAGCTTTACGTTACTGTCACATCATACCTTCAGCTTTACGTTACTGTCACATCACACCTTCAGCTTTACGTTACTGTCACATCAACCTTCAGCTTTACGTTACTGTCACATCATACCTTCATCTTTACGTTACTGTCACATATCACACCTTCAGCTTTACGTTACTGTCACATCATACCTTTATGCACACAGGTCAGGGATGGATGCTCTTTCTTGACACTGATGATGACCCTGCCCTGTACTCATTGGTGGATCCATCCATGCCACTTGCTTTAGTAGTAATCCAAGCAAAGTTGTTGCTCTACGAATTCTTGAGGTGTGTGTCTCACCTTTTTTTGTATGTCTTTTTTAATCAGACCATCATCTGAAACACAGACATGTCTCATATATCTTCTGATATCTTTTTCTGCATAACACAGCAGCCACTCATGGCTAGATTTCCATGTCATGAATGTTCTCTTGATAATAAATATAAATGAATCATCAAACGATTCATGTGAAGCAACTGATTCAGGAAGTGATTCAGGAAGACCCAATATCTCAAGATGAAAGAGCTAGTTTCTTCCACAGCTATCTCTTTCAGGCATGTCAGAGCACATTATTCTTTATTGTAAAATTTTTGGTCAAATTTTATATGGGAATTGGCTCCCCCCTTTTTTTGCACAATCCAGCACTCCACTTCTCATGGGAGTGGGCTTTTTTTAAATATTTTTTTTTATGGTGTCATTCTTTGTTTTTTTTACGTAACATATTTCAAGCTGTTGGCTGTTAGCTTAAGCTTTTAGACATGTTCCATATTATGATGATTTCTGCTTGATTTGTTTTTCGATTCATTTGAGTTAAGAAGGCAAAAGCTTTTTTTTTTTTCTTCATATTTTTGTCCTGAGCATGCCTTCTTTGCACCTCACCAATGTTGTCGTAGGCCTACCCTTTCTGCCGCCCCTTTCTACCCGCCCCAATGGCACTTGGGAAATGTGGTCCTTGACTGCAAGACACAATATGTTATTACAAAGATTATATCTAGGAGTTGTGGTATCAGACAATTCAGGAGATTGAAACTAAATATCCTAAAGAAGATGTTCCCATTCTATGTTGTGGTCTTGTGGTCACTTCAAGCATTACATACACAAATAACAATATTTCTAAATTTTGGGATATGGAAAATATGTTGCCAAAATGACATACAGTTTATCAGTTATTGGTCTTGTGGTTATTATAAAGTGATTCATGCTTAGTTCATGCTTAAGTTTGTTATATTTACATACATTACTGTGTGCTCAGGGATGGAACACAGACAAGATGGGTCCTGATGTGCCTGTTCCCATCAAGCTGTAGGCTTTCTGTAGGTTATGTGTCCTCAGTCAGAAGAGAGAGATAAGAGAGAGATGATAAGAGAGAGAGAGATCTTTTTTTTTCTTTTTTTTTAAAAAAAAATTTTTTTTTTTTTTCCCGGGGGGTTTTTTAAAAAAAATTTTTCCCCCCGGGGGCCCCCAAAAAACCCCCCCCAAAACCCTTTTTTTTAAAAAAAAGTTTTTCCCAAAAAGGGGGGGTTTTTTTTGGGAAAAATTTTGGGGTTTTTTTAAAAAACCCCCGGGAAAAAAAATTTTTTTCGGGGGGAAAAAAAAAAAATTTTTTAAAATTTTTTTTTTGGGTTTTTTTTTTTTGGGGGGGTTTTTTTTAAGTTTTTTTGGGGTTTTTTAAAAGGTTTTTTTTGGGGAAAAATTTTTTTTTTATTTTTAACCCTTTTTAAAAAAAGGGGGTTTCCCCCCCTTTTCCCGCCCTTTTTTTTTTTTTAAATTGGGTTTAAAAAAAAAAAAAAAAAGGGGGAAAAAAAAAGGGAAAAAAAAAGGGGGTTTCCCCTTTCCTTAAAATTTAATTTTTGGTTTTTTTGGCCCTTTTTTTTCCCCCCCTTTTTTTTTTTTTCCCTTTTCCCAAAACCCCCCCCTTTTCCCCTTTTTCTTTTTTTTTTTCCTTTTTTTTTTTTTTTCCCCAAATTTTTTCCCCCCCCCCCCCTTTTTTTTTTTCCCCCCCCCCCCCCCCCCTTTTTTTTTCTTTTTTTTTTTTTCCCCCCCCCAAAAAAAAAAAAAGGGGGGGGGGTTTTAAAAAAAAAAAAAAAAAAGGGGGGGGGGGGGGGGGGGTTTTTTTTTGGGGGGGCCCCCGGGGGGGGGGGGAAAAGGGGGGAAAAAAAAAAAAGGGGGGGGGGGGGGGGGGGAAAAAAAAAAAATTTTTTTTAAAAAAAAAAAAGGGGGGGGAAAAAAAAAAAAAAAAAAAAAAGGGGAAAAAAAAAGGGAAGGGGGGGGGGGGGGGGGAGGGGGGGGAAAAAAAAAAAAAAAAATTTTCCCCCCCCCCCCAAAAAAAAAAACCCCCCAAAACCCCCCTTTTTTTCCCCCAAATTTTTTTTCCGGGGTTTTTTAACCCTTTTTTAAAAAGGGTTTTAAAAAGGGAAAACCCCCCCCAAAATTTTTTTTTAAAAAGGGGGTTTTTTTTTTTGGGGGGGGTTTTTTGGGCCCCCCCCGGGGGGGGTTTTTGGGGGGGGCCGGGGGGGGGTTTTCCCAATTTCCAAAACTCTTTTCCGGGGGGGGGGGGGGGGGCCCCCCCCCCCCCCCCCCAAAAACCCGGGAAAATAAGGGGGGAAAAAAAAAAAATTTTTTTTCCCCCCCTTTTCTCTCCCCCTTTCTCCCCCCCCTTTTTTTTTTTCCCTCCCCCCTTCCCTTTTTTTTGGGTCCCCTTGGGGGGGGGGGGGGGGGGGGTTTAAGGGGGGAAAACCCCGGGCCCCCCCCCAAAGGAAAAACCCAAAACCCAAAAAAAAAAAAAAAAATTTTAAATCAAAATTTAAAAACCAAAAAAAAAACAAAAAAAAAAAACCAAAAAAAAAAAAAGGGGCCCCAAATTTTAAAAAAAAGGCCCCGGGGTTTTTTTTTAAAAAAAATTTTTTAAAATTTTTGGGGGGAAAAAAGGGGGTTTGGGGGGGTTGGGTTTTTTTCCGGGGGGGGTTTTTTTTGGGGGGGGGGTTTTTTTAAAAGGGGGGGGGGGGGGGGTTTTGGGGGGGGGGGGGGGGTTTTGGGGGGGGGGGGGGGGGAAAAAAAGGGGGGTTTTTCCAAAAGGGGTTTTTGGGGGGGGGGGTTTTTTGGGGGCCCTTTTTTTAAAAACCCCGGGGGCCCCCCCTTTTTGAACCCGGCCCCCGGGGGGGGGTTACCCCCCCCGGGGGGTTGGAAACCCCCTTTTTTTGGGGGGGGTTTTTTGGGGTTTTGGGGGAAAAAAAAAAATTTTTTTTTGGGGCCCCAAAAAAAAATTTTTCCAAAAAAAAAGGGGGGAAAATTTTTTTTGGGGAAAAAACCCCGGGAAATTTTTTTTTTTTTTTTAAAAATTTTAAAAAAAAAATTTTTTTAAAAAAAAATTTGAAGAGGCAATAATCTTCCGCTTCTCTCTCCTATCTCTTCTCTCTCTCTCTCTCTACCTGTCTCCCTCCCCTACAGAGCTTTTGTGTACCTGAGTAACCTGCTGTACCCTGTGCCCTTGGTCCATCGCGTGGCCATCGTCAGTGAGAAGGGAGAGGTCAAAGGATTCCTCAGGGTGGCTGTACAGGCTATTTCAGGTAAGATCTGGACCACAGACCCCCACACCCCCGCCACATCGAACAACCAATCAATCATTAAATCAATAATTAAATAATCAAATCAACCAATCAATCAATCAATCATTCAATCAATCAACCAATCAAACAAACTACAGCACAGAAACTAATGCCTAACGTACTGAAGCATACAGACATGTACATGGAGGACTCTGTTTCTTCATAAGACACAGTAGCAACACAGTTCAGGTAGGGTTTGACTGAAAGACAGGCTGAGTGTGGCTTCTACAGGAAGGCTGAGTGTGGCTTCTACAGGAAGGCTGAGTGTGGCTTCTACAGGAAGGCTGAGTGTGGCTTCTACAGGAAGGCTGAGTGTGGCTTCTACAGGAAGGCTGAGTGTGGCTTCTAGAGGAAGGCTGAGTGTGGCTTCTACAGGAAGGCTGAGTGTGGCTTCTACAGGAAGGCTGAGTGTGGCTTCTACAGGAAGGCTGAGTGTGGCTTCTAGAGGAAGGCTGAGTGTGGCTTCTACAGGAAGGCTGAGTGTGGCTTCTACAGGAAGGCTGAGTGTGGCTTCTACAGGAAGTCAAGTGAAGGTGCTTTGTGTTTCCCTCCAGCTGATGAGGAGGCTCCCGACTACGGATCCGGTGTCCGCCAGTCTGGCACCGCCAAGATCTCCTTCGAGGACAGGGAGTTCGAGAAGGTACGTCTCCTGAGCAAACCAACAGAGGATATCAGGCACTGTTTTGTCTAGTCAGTAACTGATTGCTGATGCTATGTATTGGCTAATGAGAGGCTTTGAAGCCACTAGTCGGCCATATTGGCACTCCCCAGAAGAAACAGATCCATAGGAATGAATGGAATTCTACAGTATTTCAATTAAATGTTTCAAGGATAAAATTGCATGTATTTAAAGGCGAACTGCACCCGCGGATTTGTCCTCGTATTTTGGCTTGTAGTAACAGGTCAATGTAGAATAAACAACTCTTTACATGATACCATAGAAGCAGTGTTCTGCTAATACAGTGGGGGAAAAAAGTATTTAATCAGCCACCAATTGTGCAAGTTCTCCCACTTAAAAAGATGAGAGAGGCCTGTAATTTTCATCATAGGTACACGTCAACTATGAATGAGAAAAAAAATATCCAGAATATCACATTGTAGGATTTTTAATGAATTTATTTGCAAATTATGGTGGAAAATAAGTATTTGGTCAATAACAAAAGTTTCTCAATACTTTGTTATATACCCTTTGTTGGCAATGACACAGGTCAAACGTTTTCTGTAAGTCTTCACAAGGTTTTCACACACTGTTGCTGGTATTTTGGCCCATTCCTCCATGCAGATCTCCTCTAGAGCAGTGATGTTTTGGGGCTGTCGCTGGGCAACACAGACTTTCAACTCCCTCCAAAGATTTTCTATGGGGTTGAGATCTGGAGACTGGCTAGGCCACTCCAGGACCTTGAAATGCTTCTTACGAAGCCACTCCTTCGTTGCCCGGGCGGTGTGTTTGGGATCATTGTCATGCTGAAAGACCCAGCCACGTTTCATCTTCAATGCCCTTGCTGATGGAAGGAGGTTTTCACTCAAAATCTCACGATACATGGCCCCATTCATTCTTTCCTTTACACGGATCAGTCGTCCTGGTCCCTTTGCAGAAAAAACAGCCCCAAAGCATGATGTTTCCACCCCCATGCTTCACAGTAGGTATGGTGTTCTTTGGATGCAACTCAGCATTCTTTGTCCTCCAAACACGACAAGTTGAGTTTTTACCAAAAAGTTATATTTTGGTTTCATCTGACCATATGACATTCTCCCAATCCTCTTCTGGATCATCCAAATGCACTCTAGCAAACTTCAGGCGGGCCTGGACATGTACTGGCTTAAGCAGGGGGACACGTCTGGCACTGCAGGATTTGAGTCCCTGGTGGCGTAGTGTGTTACTGATGGTAGGCTTTGTTACTTTGGTCCCAGCTCACTGCAGGTCATTCACTATGTCCCCCCGTGTGGTTCTGGGATTTTTGCTCACCGTTCTTGTGATCATTTTGACCCCACGGGGTGAGATCTTGCGTGGAGCCCCAGATCGAGGAAGATTATCAGTGGTCTTGTATGTCTTCCATTTCCTAATAATTGCTCCCACAGTTGATTTCTTCAAACCAAGCTGCTTACCTATTGCAGATTCAGTCTTCCCAGCCTGGTGCAGGTCTACAATTTTGTTTCTGGTGTCCTTTGACAGCTCTTTGGTCTTGGCCATAGTGGAGTTTGGAGTGTGACTGTTTGAGGTTGTGGACAGGTGTCTTTTATACTGATAACAAGTTCAAACAGGTGCCATTAATACAGGTAACGAGTGGAGGACAGAGGAGCCTCTTAAAGAAGAAGTTACAGGTCTGTGAGAGCCAGAAATCTTGCTTGTTTGTAGGTGACCAAATACTTATTTTCCACCATAATTTGCAAATAAATTCATAAAAAATCCTACAATGTGATTTTCTGGATTTTTTTCCCTCAATTTGTCTTTCATAGTTAACGTGTACCTATGATGAAAATTACAGGCCTCTCTCATCTTTTTAAGTGGGAGAACTTGCACAATTGGTGGCTGACTAAATACTTTTTTTCCCCACTGTATAACAATGTTCACCTTTCACCTTTCATTGTCATTCCCAGCGGATACAGATACTGTGACTATCAGCATTTTGTCTGGTGGTAATGGGGTTACCTTGGTAACATGTCAGAGTGGTCATTCCTTCCTGTCTGGTGGTAATGGGGTTACCTTGGTAACATGTCAGAGTGGTCATACCTTCCTGTCTGGTGGTAATGGGGTTACCTTGGTAACATGTCAGAGTGGTCATACCTTCCTGTCTGGTGGTAATGGGGTTACCTTGGAAACATGTCAGAGTGGTCATACCTTCCTGTCTGGTGGTAATGGGGTTACCTTGGTAACATGTCAGAGTGGTCATACCTTCCTGTCTGGTGGTAATGGGGCGACAGTCTTATGGCTTGGTGGGAAGAAGCTGTTAAGGAGCCTTTTGGACCTAGACTTGGCGCTTCCTCTGAAACCGCCTAGTATATACTTCCTGGATGGCAGGAAGCTTGGCCCCAGTGATGTACCTCTGTATCGCCTTACAGTCGGATGCCGAGCCGTTGCCATAGCAGGCGATGATGCAACCGGTCAGGATGCTCTCGATGGTGCAGCTGTATAACTTTTTGAGGATCTGGGGACCCATGCCAAATCTTTTCAGTCTCCTGAGGGGGAAAAGGTGTTGTCGTGCCCGCTTCACGACTGTCTTGGTGTGTTGGACCATGATATATATATATATATATATATTTTTTTTTTTGTCATTTAGCAGACGCTCTTATCCAGAGCGACTTACAGTTAGTGAGTGCATACATTTTTCATACTGGCCCCCCGTGGGAAACGAACCCACAACCCTGGCATTGCAAGCACCATGCTCTACCAACTGAGCTACAAACTGAGTTTGTTGGTGATGTGGACACCAAGGAACTTGAAACTCTCGACCCGCTCCACTACAGCCCCGTCGATGTCAATGGGGGCCTGTTCGGCCCTCCTTTTCCTGTAGTCCACAATCAGCTCCTTTGACTTGCCCACGTTGAGGGAGAGGTTGTTGTCCTGGCACCACACTGCCAGGTCTCTGACCTCCTCCCTATAGGCTGTCTCATCGTTGTCGGTGATCAGGCCTACCACTGTTGTGTCGTCAGCAAACTTAATGATGGTGTTGGAGTCGTGCTTGGCCACGCAGTCGTGGGTGAACAGGGAGTACAGGAGGGGACTAAGCACGCACCCCTGAGGGGCCCCCGTGTTGAGGATCAGCTGATACCATTGTATTCAATAATAAAGTAAAAGTGTCTAGTAACATTTTAATGCAGAGTGCCAGGTCTCTCTCCATGCACGTTTTCGTGAAACTTTAACGTCTTCATATCTCTAAATCATTGTCATGTGGTGAATCAAAATTCTATCCTAATCTAAATGAAAATGATACACACCTAAAAAGTAACTTCTATTGCCATTGCCAACTATGTAAAAATAGCCTCCATAAAGCCAACAAATAAAAACATTGCAGTCTGCAGGTAGAAAATATCCTGATGAAAATAAATATCCTATAAATCACATTGGCTACACATGGCCTGTCTGCAACGAACTTGAAACATTGTATCAACTATTAACTTGGGTCCTGCCCTAGTTGCAACATTGTATCAAATATTCTGTATGAAAAAAAGGCCCGCACCAGTGAGCTCGGGACAGACAAAGCTGTTGACTATTTGCGCAAGGGATAAGGAGCAGTGCTTGACTTGGGCAGGAGCTCACCGGAGCTGAGTACCGGCACCTCAAATGTTCTACTGCTTCAGCTCCTGTTCCTCTTATAGAATATTAGCTCAAAAGTATTGTGGAGGTCCCAAAATGAGTAGAAGTCAAACAGTGATAAGAAGTAATCAGGTAGGCCTATTTTTTATAATGTTTCCATTGGATCAGAGCATGACATTTTTCCCTTTCATGCTGAGTGGTTATCGAAAGGGAGAGAGCTGGAAAGATGTTTCAAATACATTGAGGAACGATTGTAATTCTCAATGGATGTAAAAACAGACTTTGTTTGCTTGCTGTTTGAGGTGAAGAATACATTACTTTGAGAAGCTCCACAGGTCATTAGTGGTGGTGCGTTAAGCCAATCAGAAATACTATCAGATCCCCAAATGGGCACATTTATATGCCTCCATTTGGGCGCAGGCCAGGTAGCCTATAGGCCTACTTCTATGAATAATCAGGCCAGGTAGCCTATAGGCCTACTTCTATGAGTAATCAGGTGCGTGTCCTTACTCAACATTGACAGGAGCGCTACAAACAAAAGACAATGATTAAATTGACAAAACTCGTAAATGGAATGAAATAAAACCAAAACTTGTTTCTCACAAGTGTAGCAGGTTGTGCACTCTGCAAACAATCTGTCCACTCTCCGACCACATTTTCGGATCAAGCATAAATGGGCTTTTAGTCTAGGCCTCCGCAATGGATTAGTTCACAGAGATGGGGCAAATATATACATTTGTTACTGCTCGACTAAAATAATCTCGGTCGACCAACAGCCTAACGACCAAACAATCAACCAGTCGACTAATTGGGGTCAGCCCCAATTATTTTTTATTTTTTTAAAATGTTTAGCTCACATAATTTAATTAAAAAGTATACATTTAGGTGGCTGTAATATAATAAATATAGTAAAACCAATGTAGACGTTAATAAATTAATATAGCTTCCAAAATATTGTTTTGAATGGGAGGGGAGTGCCAAGATGGATGCGTGGGGGCTTCAAAACAGCACCCCCCGTCAGTCATCTAGTGTATGTATAAATCATTGTATAAATCAGTGATTGCGAAAGTATTCACCCCCCTTGGCATTTTTCCTATTTTGTTGCCTTACAACCTGGAATTAAAATGGATTTTTTTGGGGGTTTGTATCATTTGATTTACACAACATGCCTACCACTTTGAAGATGCAAAATATTTTTTATTGTGAAACAAATAAGACAGAAAAACTGAAAACTTCTGCATGCGTAACTATTCATCCCCCCAAAAGTCAATATGTTGTAGAGCCACCTTTTGCAGCAAATACAGCTGCAAGTCTCTTGGGGTATGTCTCTATAAGCTTGGCACATCTAGCCACTGGGATTTTTGCCCATTCTTCAAGGAAAAACTGCTCCAGCTCCTTCAAGTTTGGTCCTCTGTAGCTCAGCTGGTAGAGCACGGCGCTTGTAACGCCAAGGTAGTGGGTTCGATCCCCGGGACCACTCATACACAAAAAAAATGTATGCACGCATGACTGTAAGTCGCTTTGGATAAAAGCGTCTGCTAAATGGCATATTATTATTATTATTATAAGTTGGATGGGTTCCGCTGGTGTACAGCAATCTTTAAGTCATACCACAGATTCTCAATTGGATTGAGGTCTGGGCTTTGAATAGGCCATTCCAAGACATTTAAATGTTTCCGCTTAAACCACTCGAGTGTTGCTTTAGTAGTATGCTTAGGGTCATTGTCCTGCTGGAAGGTGAACCTCCGTCCCAGTCTCAAATCTCTGGAAAACTGAAACAGGTTTCCCTCAGGAATTTCCCTGTATTTAGCGCCATCCATCATTCCTTCAATTCTGACCAGTTTCCCAGTCCCTGCCGATGGAAAACATCCCCACAGCATGATGCTTCCACCACCATGCTTCACTGTGGGGATGGTGTTCTCAGGGTGATGAGAGATGTTGGGTTTGCGCCAGACATAACGTTTTCCTTGATGGCCAAAAAGCTCAATTTTAGTCTCATCTGACCAGAGTACCTCTTCCATATGTTTGGGGAGTCTCCCACATGCCTTTTGGCGAACACCAAATGTGTTAGCTTATTTCTTTCTTTAAGCAATGGCTTTTTTCTGGCCACTCTTCCATAAAGCCCAGCTCTGTGGAGTTTACGGCTTAAAGTGGTCCTATGGACAGATACTCCAATCTCCGCTGTGGAGCTTTGCAGCTCCTTCAGGGTTATCTTTGGTCTCTTTGTTGCCTCTCTGATTAATGCCCTCCTTGCCTAGTCCCTGAGTTTTGGTGGGCGGCCCCCTCTTGGCATGTTTGTTGTGGTGCCATATTCTTTCTATTTTTTAATAATGGATTTAACGGTGCTCTGTGGGATGTTCAAAGTTTCTGATATTTTTTATAACCCAACCCTGATCTGTACTTCTCCACAACTTTGTCCCTGACCTGTTTGGAGAGCTTCTTGGTCTTCATGGTGCCGCTTGCTTGGTGGTGCCCCTTGCTTAGTGGTGTTGCAGACTCTGGGGCCTTTCAGTACAGCTGTATATATACTGAGATCATGTCACAGATCATGTGACACTTAGATTGCACACAGGTGGACTTTATTTAACTAATTATGTGACTTCTGAAGGTAATTGGTTGCACCAGATCTTATTTAGGGGCTTCATAGCAAAGGGGGTGAATACATATGCACACACCACTTTTGAAATGAAGTTTTTTTTTTCATTTCACTTTTTGGACTATTTTGACTATTTTGTGTATGTCCATTTACATGAAATCCAAATTAAAAAAACGCCAAAGGGGATGAATAGTTTTGCAAGGCACTGCACCTTCCGTAGTTTTAAAATAAAAACAAATCATATGTATTGGTCACATACACATGGTTAGCAGATGTTATTGCGAGTGTAGCAAAATGCTTTATCTGAGAACTGTCTGTAGCTACCTCCTTTAGCTTTGCTTACTGTATGCTGTAGCTACCTCCTTTAGCTATGGTTACTGTATGCTGTAGCTACCTCCTTTAGCTATGCTAACTGTATGCTGTAGCTACCTCCTTTAGCTTTGCTTATTGTATGCTGTAGCTACCTCCTTTAGCTATGCTTACTGTATGCTGTAGCTACCTCCTTTAGCTATGGTTACTGTATGCTGTAGCTACCTCCTTTAGCTATGGTTACTGTATGCTGTAGCTACCTCCTTTAGCTATGCTAACTGTATGCTGTAGCTACCTCCTTTAGCTATGCTAACTGTATGCTGTAGCTACCTCCTTTAGCTATGCTAACTGTATGCTGTAGCTACCTCCTTTAGCTATGCTTACTGTATGCTGTAGCTACCTCCTTTAGCTATGCTTACTGTATGCTGTAGCTACCTCCTTTAGCTATGCTAACTGTATGCTGTAGCTACCTCCTTTAGCTATGCTAACTGTATGCTGTAGCTACCTCCTTTAGCTATGGTTACTGTATGCTGTAGCTACCTCCTTTAGCTATGCTAACTGTATGCTGTAGCTACCTCCTTTAGCTATGGTTACTGTATGCTGTAGCTACCTCCTTTAGCTTTGCTTACTGTATGCTGTAGCTACCTCCTTTAGCTATGGTTACTGTATGCTGTAGCTACCTCCTTTAGCTATGCTAACTGTATGCTGTAGCTACCTCCTTTAGCTATGGTTACTGTATGCTGTAGCTACCTCCTTTAGCTATGGTTACTGTATGCTGTAGCTACCTCCTTTAGCTATGCTAACTGTATGCTGTAGCTACCTCCTTTAGCTATGCTAACTGTATGCTGTAGCTACCTCCTTTAGCTATGCTAACTGTATGCTGTAGCTACCTCCTTTAGCTATGCTTACTGTATGCTGTAGCTACCTCCTTTAGCTATGCTTACTGTATGCTGTAGCTACCTCCTTTAGCTATGCTAACTGTATGCTGTAGCTACCTCCTTTAGCTATGCTAACTGTATGCTGTAGCTACCTCCTTTAGCTATGCTAACTGTATGCTGTAGCTACCTACTTTAGCTATGGTTACTGTATGCTGTAGCTACCTCCTTTAGCTATGCTTACTGTATGCTGTAGCTACCTCCTTTAGCTATGGTTACTGTATGCTGTAGCTACCCCTTAGCTATACTGTGCTGTAGCTATACTAACTGTATGCTGTAGCTACCTCCTTTAGCTATGCTAACTGTATGCTGTAGCTACCTCCTTTAGCTATGCTAACTGTATGCTGTAGCTACCTCCTTTAGCTATGCTAACTGTAATGCTGTAGCTACCTCCTTTAGCTATGCTAACTGAATGCTGTAGCTACCTCCTTTAGCTATGCTAACTGAATGCTGTAGCTACCTCCTTTAGCTATGCTAACTGAATGCTGTCCCTTGTGGTCAGTTCCAGGCTACGTCCTCTAGCTTTAATGTCAGTGGCTAGGCCACTCCCTCTATCTCTGCTAACTGTGTGCTATCTTCTGGCTAGTTTGCTAGTTTGCTAGCATCTCTTCCAGCTTTGCTAACTGTGTGCTATCTTCTGGCTAGTTAGTAAATACCTCCTAGGTTTGCTAGCATCTCTTCCAGCTTTGCTAACTGTGTGCTATCTTCTGGCTAGTTAGTAAATACCTCCTAGGTTTGCTAGCTTCTTTTCCAGCTTTGCTAACTGTGTGCTATCTTCTGGCTAGTTAGTAAATACCTCCTAGGTTTGCTAGCATCTCTTCCAGCTTTGCTAACTGTGTGCTATCTTCTGGCTAGTTAGTAAATACCTCCTAGGTTTGCTAGCATCTCTTCCAGCTTTGCTAACTGTGTGCTATCTTCTGGCTAGTTAGTAAATACCTCCTAGGTTTGCTAGCTTCTTTTCCAGCTTCGCTAACTGTGTGCTATCTTCTGGCTAGTTAGTAAATACCTCCTAGGTTTGCTAGCTTCTTTTTCCAGCTTTGCTAACTGAATGCTGTCCCTTGTGGTCAGTTCCAGGCTGAGTCGTGCCCCGCTGGTCTGTCCCGTACCGGGGCGTCCCAGGAGGAGCTGCGTTTCGTGGAGGGGGAGGGACAGAACTCAGGGATGGAGCCCTCAGCCGATGAGGTCAACAACAACACATGTGCGGGTAACCACCACTAGCTGTGTATTCTCCTCAGCCGCTGTGGTGTCTCATCAAACTGTGGTGTCTCATCAAACTGTGGCGTCTCATCAAACTGTGGTGTCTCATCAAACTGCAGTGTCTCATCAAACTGTGGTGTCTCATCAAACTGCAGTGTCTCATCAAACTGTGGTGTCTCATCAAACTGTCCTGCACGTGTCTTGTGTGTGGAGGCTGTCTGTGTGACTGTGGTCTGTCTGTGTGGGTGTGGCCTGTACATGTGGGTGTGGTCTGTGTATGCGGGTGTGGCCTTCCAAAAGCCTTCAGAAAGTATTCATACCTCTTGATTTATTCCAGACTTTGTTGTGTTACAGCCTGAACTCAAAATGGATTAAATAGATTTTTTCTCTCACCCATCTACACACAATGCCCCATAATGACAAAGTGAAAACATGTTTTTAGAAATGATTGAACATTTATTGAAAATGAAATACAGAAATATCTTATTTACATAAGTATTCACACTCCTGATTCAATACATGTTAGAATCACCGTTAGCAGCGATTTCAGTTGTGAGTCTTTCTGGGTAAGTCTCTAAGAGCATTGCACACCTGGATTGTACAACATTTGCACATTATTATTTTTTACATTCTTAAAGGTCTCTCAAGTTGATTGTTGAACATTGCTAGACAGCCATTTTCTGGTCTTGCCATAGATCTTTAAGCCGATTTAAGTCAAAACTGTAATTAGGCCACTCAGGAACATTCAATGTCGTCTTGGTAAGCAACTCCAGTGTATATTTGGCCTTGTGTTTTAGGTTATTGTCCTGCTGAAAGGTGAATTTGTCTCCCAGTGTCTGTTGGAAAGCAGACTGAAACAGTTTTTCTTCTCGGATTTTGCCTGTGCTTCGCACTATTCTGTTTATTTTTCTCCTAACAAACTCCCTAGTCCTTGCCGATGACAAGCATACCCATAACATGATGCAGTCATCACCATGCTTGAAAATGTGAAGAGTGTTACTCAGTGATGTTTTGTGTTGAATTTGCCCCAAACATAATGCTTTGTCTTCAGGACATAAAGTTAGTTTCTTTGCCACATTTTTTGCAGTATTACTTTTTATTGCCTCATTGCAAACAGGATGGATGTTTTGGAATATATAATACTGGCTGTATTGATACACCATCGAAAGTGTAATTAATAACTTCACCATGCTCGAAGGGATATTCATTGTCAGCTTTTTTCTTCTTTTTTTACCAATAGGTGCCCTTCTTTGCGAGGCATTGGAATCCTCCCTGGTCATTGTGGTTGAATCTGTTTTTGAAATTCACTGCTCGACTGAGGGATCTTACAGATAACTGTATGTGTGGGGTACAGAGATGATGTAGTCATTCAAAATTATGTTAAACACTATTATTGCACACAGAGTGAGTCCCTGCAATGGGATTTGTTAAGCACATTTTTACTCCTGAACATATTTAGGCTTGCCATAACAAAGGGGTTGAATACTTATTGACTCAAGACATTAAAAGCTTTTCATTTTTTTATTAATTTGAAAACATTTCTGAAACCATAATTCCACTTTGGCATTATGGGGTATTGTGTGCAGGCCAGTGACACAAAACCTAAATGAAATCAATTTTCAATTCAGGCTGTAACACAACAAAATGTGGAAAAAGTCAAAGGGATGTGAACACTTTCTGAAGGCACTGTAAGTGTGTGTGGTCTGAGTTCATATCTACTTTATGCTAAATGTATGTATGTACAGGTAGGTAGTGTGTTTATCTGCCTGAAGTTATATTATGTTGTGAGTAAGGATGTAGGGTAGAGAAATAGCTCAGTGTGCCATAGTGAAAACACAGGAAGATTAACTACACTCAATGTCTCTCCTATGTCTTCATGTCTCCGTTCTGACCCCCTGTAGCCGGTCCAGACGAGTTGAAGGCCAACCTGGACGGAGCCCTGGAGCACCTGAGGATAGGTAACGTCTTCACCTTCAGAGTGACGGTCCTACAGGCCTTCAGCATCTCTGCAGAGTACGCTGACATCTTCTGCCAGTTCAAGTAAGTTGTTGTTGTTGTTGTTGTTGTTGTTGTTGTTTTTTCTTCTTCTTCTTCTTGTTCTTCTTCTGCTTCTATCAGATCTTTAGGTATTCTACCAGTCAAAAGTTTGGACACACCTACTCATTCAAGGGTTTTTCTTTATTTAAAAAAAAAACAATTCTACATTTTAGAATAACAACAAGTGCTCAGCATATGTGGGAACTCCTTCAAGACTGTCGGAAAAGCATTCCGGGTGAAGCTGGTTGAGAGAATGCCAAGAGTGTGCAAAGCTGTCATCAAGGCGAAGGGTGGCTACTTTGAAGAATCTCAAAATTAAAATATATTTTGATTTCTTTTAACACTTTTTTTGGTTGCTACATGATTCCATATGTGTTATTTCATAGTTTTGATGTCTTCACTATTATTCTACAATGTAGAAAATAGTAAAAAATAAAGAAAAACCCTTGAATGAGTAGGTGTGTCCAAACTTTTGACTGGTAGTGTATATCTTTAGGTCTATCAGATGTTGAAACAAGCTAACAAGGCCTTCTCTCTTTCTGATCAGTTTCATCCACCGCCATGATGAGGCCTTTTCCACAGAGCCTCTGAAGAACACAGGGCGAGGCCCTCCTCTGGGCTTCTACCACGTACAGAACGTAAGCAGTTGAACGTTTAATGAAAAATGATGTACTAAAATATGAATCAGAGTCACAAGCAGGTAATGGGGATTAGAGGGCCGAATATCAAACAAACAGTTATTCTTGATATTTCAGAATGAAACAAGGGCAGGAATTATGGGAGAAATATAGATAGTAATATTAAAAGTAACAGATATAGTTTACATGTTCACATTCAAATTAGGGAAAAGATAGGTGAGATCGATCTGGATACACTTACGTATTTGTATTTACATCTGATAGACCTGGGGTCGAAACACATTAAGGCACTTACATTACATATAAAACCAAAGATAAAACAGTACATCATATAACATTATTACACCACTACATATCTACAATACAAAATGTATAATACCACCATACAACAATACCACAATGTACGTGTGTGTAGAGTGCGTGTGCTAGCGCTTGTATGCGTGTGTCTGTGTCTCTTCACAGTCCCCGCTGTTCCACAAGGTGTATTTTTATGTTTTTTCAATCTGATTCTACTGCTTGCATCAGTTACCTGATGTGGAATAGAGTTCCATGTAGTCATGGCTCTATGTAGTACTGTGCGCCTCCCATAGTCTGTTCTGGACTTGGGGACTGTGAAGAGACCTCTGGTGGCATGTCTTGTGGGGTATGCATGGGTGTCTGAGCTGTGTGCTAGTAGTTTAAACAGACAGCTCGGTACATTCAGCTTGTCAACACTTCTTACAAAAACAAGTAGTGATGAAGTCAATCTCTCTTCCACTTTGAGCCATGAGAGATTGACATGCATATCATTAATGTTAGCTGCCCGTGTACTTTTAAGGGCCAGCCGTGCTCCCCTGTTCTGAGTCAATTGTAATTTTCCTAAGTCCCTCTTTGTGGGACCTGACCACACGACTGAACAGTAGTCCAGGTGCGACAAAACTAGGGCCTGTAGGACCTGCCTTGTTGATAGTGTTGTTAAGAAGGCAGGGTAGCGCTTTATTATGGGCATACTTTTCCCCATCTTAGCTACTGTTGTATCAATATGTTTTGACCATGACAGTTTACAATCCAGGGTTACTCCAAGCAGTTTAGTCACCTCAACTTGCTCAATTTCCACATTATTCATTACATGTTTTAGGGTTTATTTTAGTTTAGTTTAGTGAATGATTTGTCCCAAATACAATGCTTTTAGTTTAGGAATTATTTAGGACTAACTTATTCCTTGCCACCCATTCTGAAACTAACTGCAGCTCTTTGTTAAGTGTTGCAGTCATTTCAGTCGCTGTAGTAGCTGACGTGTATAGTGTTGAGTCATCCGCATACATAGACACACTGGCTTTACTCAAAGTCAGTGGCATGTCGTTAGTAAAGATTGAAAAAAGTAAGGGGCCTAGACAGCTGCCCTGGGGAATTCCTGATTCTACCTGGATTATGTTGGAGAGGCTTCCATTAAAGAACACCCTCTGTGTTCTGTTAGACAGGTAACTCTGTATCCACAATATAGCAGGTGGAGTAAAGCCATACCATTTTTTTCCAGCAGCAGACTATGATCGATAATGTCAAAAGCCGCACTGAAGTCTAACAAAACAGCCCCCACAATCTTTTTTATCATCAATTTCTCTCAGCCAATCATCAGTCATTTGTGTAAGTGCTGTGTTTGTTGAATGTCCTTCTCCATAAGCATGTTGAAAGTTTGTTGTCAGTTTGTTTACTGTAAAATAGCATTGTATCTGGTCAAACACAATTTTTTCCAATAGTTTACTAAGGGTTGGGTAAAAGGCTAATTGGTCGGCTGTTTGAGCCAGTAAAGGGGCTTTTACTATACTTAGGTAGGGGAATGACTTTTGCTTCCCTCCAGGCCTGGGGGCACACACTTTCTAGGAGGCTTAAATTGAAGATATGGCAAATAGGAGTGGCAATATCGTCCACTATTATCCTCAGTAATTTTCCATCCAAGATTGTCAGACCCCGGTGGCTTGTCATTGTTGATAGATAACAATACTTTTTTCACCTCTTCCATAGTCACTTTATGGAATTCAAAAGTACAATGCTTGTCTTCATAATTTGGTCAGATATACTTGGATGTGTAGTGTCAGCATTTGTTGCTGGCATGTCATGCCTAAATTTGCTAATCTTGACAATGAAGAAATCATTAAGGTAGTTGGCAATATCAGTGGGTTTTGTGATGAATGAGCCATGTGATTCAATGAATGATGGAGCCGAGTTGGCCTTTTTTCCCAGAATTTAATTTAAGGTGCTCCAAAGCTTTTCACTATCATTCCTTATATCTGTTTTTTTTTTCATAGTATATATATATATTTTTTTTTCATTTATTCACATGATTTGTTAATTTGCAGTACGTTTGCCAATCGGTTGGGCTGCCAGACTTAATTGCCATAACTTTTGCCTCATCCCTCTCAATTTCTCATCATTTTCTTAATGGGTGCATGCTTATTAGTAACTGGAATAAGCAATTTCATAAATTTGTCAAGCGCTGCATCTGGTTGCTTCTCATTACACACCACAGACCAGCAAATATTCTTTACATCATCAACATAAGAATTACTACAAAACTGACCTCTTATACACTATATTAGGCACTTTGATACTGCAGCATTAGTAAAGATGTGATCAGGTCTGCAACCAACGTTCTTCCATTGTGTAGAGTCCAAAACAAAGGATTTCACTAGTCCAAGTATAATTTTTGCAAGGTCCTCTCACGGAGTGTCCTTGAATTGATTTGTAGCTCATAAATTGACAGCAACCATATGTCTGGTCAGCGTCGGAACACAACTGTTCACATGTTCTATTTATTGTCCTGGAACCAGCAAGAGGTGAGGCCTCTTGTCAGGAGAGCTACGATTGGCTCAGGTGAGGAAAAAGTTATATGAATCAATAAATTGTCCACACCAAAGGAAGGGTATTTTGTCTACTCTCATAACATATTCCAACGTCCATGTGAAGACAAAAACATACTTTTCCTTTGACAAGTGAGGGTAATACCTTTTAATTGTCAGGAAAATACATTGAGTGTACAAAACATTATGAACACCAGCAATTTCCATGACATAGACTGACCAGGTGAATCCAGTCGAAAGCTTTGATCACCTGTTAAATCCACTTCAATCAGTGTAGATGAAGGGGATGAGACAGGTTAAATAAGGGTTTTTATGACTTGAATTCAATTGAGACATGGATTGTGTATGTGTGCCATTCAGAGGGTGAATGGGAAAGACAAAATATTTAAGTGCCTTTGAACGGGGTATGGTAGTAGGTGCCAGGCGCACCGGTTTGTGCCAAGAACTGCAACGCTGCTAGGTTTTTCACATTCAACAGTTTCCTGTGTGTATCAAGAATGGTCCACCACCCAAACGGCATCCAGCCAACTTGACCCAACTGTGGGAAGCATTGGAGTCAACATGGGCCAGCATCCCTGTGGAAAGCTTTCGACACCTTGTAGAGTCCATGCCCTGACGAATTGAAGCTGTTCTGAGGGTAAAAGTGGGGTTTGCAACTCAATATTAGGAAGCTGTTCTTAATGTTTTGTACACTCAGTGTGTATCATACACATCCTAAAAGTCAAGGTCTTATTATACACATCTAAAAACACTTTTAACAAAGTCATTTTAAGTCAATTTACCTTGTTTCCTTGATGAAATAATAAGAGGTTGTTTTGTATGGAGTTTGTTGCTTTCCACATACAGTGCATTCAGAAAGTATTCAGACCCCTTGACTTTTTCCGCATTTTGTTACGCTACAGCATTATTCTAAAATTGATTAAATTGTTTTTTTCTCTCATCAATCTACACACAATAACCCCATAATGACATAGCGAAAACAGGTTTTTAGAAATATTTGCAAATGTATTAAAAATATAAAACATAAATAACTTATTTACATAAGTATTCAGACCCTTTGCTATGAGACTTGAAATTGAGCTTGGGTGCATCCTGTTTCCGTTGATCATCCTTGAGATGTTTCTACAACTTGATTGGAGTCCACCTATGGAAAATTCAATTGATTGGACATGATTTGGAAAGGCACACACCTGTCTATATAAGGTCCCACATTTGAAAGTGCACGTCAGAGCAAAAAGCAAGCCATGAGGTCGAAGGAATTGTCCGTAGAGCTCCGAGACAGGATTGTGTCGAGGCACAGATCTGGGGAATGGTACAAATTTTTTTGGGCAGCATTGAAGGTCCCCAAAAACACATTCTTAAATGGAAGAAGTTTGGAACCACCAAAACTCTTCCTAGAGCTGGCCGCCCGGCCAAACTGAGCAATTGGGGGAGAAGGGCCTTGGTCAGGGAGGTGACCAAGAACCCGATGGTCACTCTGACAGAGCTCTAAAGTTCCTCTGTGGAGATGAGAGAACCTTCCAGAAGGACAACCATCTCTGTAGCACTCCATCAATCAGGCCTTTATGGTAGAGTGGCCAGACGGAAGCCACTCCTCAGTAAAAGGCACACGACAGCCCGCATGGAGTTTGCCAAAAGGCACCTAAAGACTCTCAGACCATGAGAAACAAGATTCTCTGGTCTGATGAAACCAAGATTGAACTCTTTGGCCTGAATGCGCAGTGCACGCTGACACGGTCGCCAGGTGTACGGTGTTTCCTCCGACACGTTGGTGCGGCTGGCTTCCGGGTTAAGCGGGCATCGTGTCAAGAAGCAGTGCGGCTCGGATCGGTTGTGTTTCGGAGGACGCACGGCTCTCGACCTTCGCCTCTCCCGAGTCCGTACGGGAGTTGCAGCGATGGGACAAAACTGTAACTACCAATTGGATATCACGAAATTGGGGTGAAAAAGGGGTACAAAAATAATATAATATAACAGAAAGTGTTCTTGGGGACCTTCAATGCTGCATTAAGGTGTGTGTCTTTCCAAATCATGTCCAATCAATTGAATTTACAACAGGTGGACTCCAGTGAAGTTGTAGAAACATCTCAAGGATGATCAATGGACACAGGATGCACCTGAGCTCAATTTCGAGTCTCATAGCAAAGTGTCTGAATACTTATGTAAATAAGGTTTTTAAATTTTTATTTTATTTTGCATACTCTGGATGTCCAGCTCAGACATACAGTACCAGTCAAAAGTTTGGACACACCTACTCATTCAAGGGTTTTTCTTTATTTTTTTACTATTTTCTACATTGTAGAATAATAGTGAAGACATCATATAGCCACCCTTTGCTTTGATGAGAGCTTTGCACACTCTTGGCATTCTCTCAACCAGCTTCACCTGGAATGTTTTGAAGGAGTTCCCACATATCCTGAGCACTTGTTGGCTGCTTTTCCTTCACTCTGTGGTCCAAATAATCCCAACCCATCTCAATTGGGTTGAGGTCGGGTGATTGTGGAGGCCAGGTGATCTGATGCAGCACTCCATCACTCTCCTTCTTGGTAAAATAGCCCTTACACAGCCTGGAGGTGCGTTGGGTCATTGTCCTGTTGAAAAACAAATTATAGTCCCACTAAGCGCAAACCAGATGGGATGGAGTATCGCTGCAGAATGCTGTGGTAGCCATGCTGGTTAAGTGTGCCTTGAATTCTAAATAAACCACAGACAGTGTCACCAGCAAAGCACCCCCACACCATAACACCTCCTCCTTCACGGTGGGAACCACACATGCGGAGATAATCCGTTCACCTGCTCTGCGTCTCACAAAGACATGGTGGTTGGAACCAAAAAATCTCAAATTTGGACTCATCAGACCAAGGGACAGATTTCCACCGGTCTAATGTCCATTGCTCATGTTTCTTGGCCCGAGCAAGTCTCTTCTTCTTATTGGTGTCCTTTAGTAGTGGTTTCTTTGCAGCAATTCGACCATGAAGGCCTGATTCACACAGTCTCCTCTGAACAGATGATGTTGAGATGTGTCTGTTACTTGAACTCTGTGAAGCATTTATTTGGGCTGCAATTTCTGAGGCTGGTAACTCTAATGAACTTATTCTCTGCAGCAGAGGTAACTCTGGGTCTTCCATTCCTGTGGCGGTCCTCATGAGAGCCAGTTTCATCATAGTGCTTGATGGTTTTTGTGACTGCACTTGAAGAAATTTTCAAAGTTCTTGAAATGTTCCATGTTGGCTGGCCATCGTCTTAAAGTAATGATGGACTGTCGTTTCTCTTTGCTTATTTGAGCTTTTCTTGCCATAATATGGACTTGGTCTTTTACCAAATAGGGCTATCTTCTGTATACCCCCCCTACCTTGTCACAACACAACTGATTGGCTCAAATGCATTAAGAAGGAAATAAATTCCACAAATTAACTTTTAAGAAGGCATACCTGTTAATTGAAATGCATTCCAGGTGACTACCTCATGAAGCTGGTTGAGAGAACGCCAAGAGTGTGCAAAGCTGTCATCAAGGCAAAGGGTGGCTATTTGAAGAATCTCAAATATCAAATATATTTTGATTTGTTTAACACTTTTTTGGTTACTTCGTGATTCCATATGTGTTATTTCATAGTTTTGATGTCTTCACTACTATTCTACAATGTAAAAAGAGAGAAAGAAAAACCCTTGAATGAGTAGGTGTGTCCAAACTTTTGACTGGTAGTGTATATATATATTTAACCCAAAAAAATATATGGGGGATTGGAAATGATGCTGACATTTACATTGATGGAATCTATGGCTGATCTAGCCCCGAATAAAACAATACAAAATAAAAAAAGAGGTTATCATGTTATCATGGTTTGATATGCTATGATAGCTAATATCGCTTTATTGGTTCAACAGATTGCTGTAGAGGTCACCAAATCATTTATTTGTGGAGTACATCAAGACCAGGCCTATGGTGGTTGGGAATGTTATCATGGTTTGATATGCTGTGATAGCTAATATCGCTTTATTGGTTTAACAGATTGCTGTAGAAGTCACCAAATCCTTTGTGGAGTACATCAAGTCCCAGCCTATGGTGTTTGAGGTGTTTGGTCACTACCAGAAACAGCCTGCTCTCTGCAAGGACCTCATAAGGTAACACTCGCTACCGGAAGGACAATCTTCATTCTTCTTTTTGTAATGCACTTATTATTTTCATGTGGTGGTAACATACTCCGTTAGGACTTACTGTATCCCTCTCCCTCTCTCTCTCTCTCTCTCTGTCTCTCTCTCTCTCTCTCTCTCTCTGTCTCTCTCTCTCTGTCTCTGTCTCTCTCTCTGTCTGTCTCTCTCTCTCTCGCTCCTCTCTTCTCTCTCTCGTCTCTCTCTCTCTCTCTCTCTCTCTCTCTCTCTCTCTCTCTCTCTCTCAATTCAATTCAATTCAATTTAAGGGCTTAATTGGCATGGGAAACGTATGTTAACATTGCCAAAGTAAGTGAAGTAGATAATAAACTAAAGTTACTGTATCTCTCTTCTCTCGCTCTCTCTCTCTCTCTCTCTCTCTCTCTCTACTCTCTTTCATCTGTCTCTCTCTCTCTCTCTCTGTCTCTCCTCTCTCTCTCTCTCTCTCTCTCTCTCTCCTCTCTCTCTGTCTCTCTCCTCTCTCTCTTGTCTGTCTCTTCTCTTCTCATCTCTCTCTCTCTCTCTCTCTCTCTCTCTCTCTTTCAATTCAATTCAATTCAATTTAAGGGCTTTATTGGCATGGGAAATGTATGTTCACATTGCCAAAGTAAGTGAAGTAGATAATAAACAAAAGTGAAATAAAACAATAAAAATTAACAGTAAACATTACACTCAGAAGTTCCAAAAGAATAAAGACATTTCAAATGTCATATTATGTTTATATACAGTGTTGTTTTTGCATTCTTCATCAAACCATTGCACTGTTGCACTTTTCTTTGGTTTTCTGTTAGATATTTTTAGATTTGATAGGAAGCTGAGGGGTCAAATATACTGTTAGGTTTTCTACTGCCAGTTTTAACCTTCACTATTACAGTGGAACGTTTTGTCCAGGAAGTTGTCTAAAAGGGATTTGAATTTGTTGTTGCCTAATTGTTTTTTTGGTACGGTTTCGACACTATTTCCTTCCATCTATAGCATTTCTTAAATTATTCAGTTCCTTTGGCTTGATGCCTCATGATTGAGTATTGCTCAGTTCAAGTAGACTTGATTTTACTGTGGTCGATAGCGGGTTTGTTTCAGTGGCTGACTGTGAACGCCTGAGAGACTCTGGGTTGAGGTCAGTGATAAAGTAGTCTACAGTATACTGCAAAGATGAGCTATAGTGTAACCATAGGGTACCTCGAAGCCTCAGGAATAGGGAGATAGAGAGAAGGCTGAGCCAGTGGCGGGTAAGAGAGAGAGGAGAGAGCAGAGGGGAGAGGAGAGGGAGGAGAGGGAGGGAGAGAGGAGAGCGAGAGAGAGGGTACGTAGAGTAGGAAGGCAGAGCGAGTAAGGGGAGAGGGAGCATGAGCGCGATTTTCGCTCTAAGCCGACTGTCGGTCCTCGTACGGGAGTCACTGTGTCTCTCTCTTTCATTCGACGCTCGGCATGGCTGATCAGTATCAATCTTCTCTCTACTCTCGAACGGAGATCCACTCTCTCTATCTCTCTCTTCTCCCTCCTTTCTCCCACCAGCCCCTGCGTCCCTGCAGAAGGCAGTTCCCTCCAGTCATGCCCCTGTCCAAACCAGGTAAGCGGCATAATCGTGTTATTCTTTCTTGCTTTAGTGGACAACCGCCGTCTACATCAGGATATGAATGTTGTTATTTAGTGTTGTAAACGTGAGGCTGCACACTGTACACAATGTGTATGTGTCGTGCCATTGTATGGCCTGTGTACAGCACTCAGCGCATGTCCGTTAAATTGTATTCTTACTGGTGCACTGTTAGTGCTGGTGTACTAGCCTGGTGAAATCAAAACACGACAAGGAATGACAAGGAGTGGAATGGAGTGGCATGATAGCTAAATAGACTGGGGACCTCGGCTACTGGTGTTCTGATACTATGTCATGTCATGCCTGATGCTGTCAGCTGCACTGTACTGTGTAATGTCACGTTAGCTCAGCTGTTCTGTACTGTGTAATGTCACGTTAGCGCAGCTGCACTGTACTGCAGTATGTCCGTTAGCGCCGCGCACTGTGCTGTTAGTCACGTTCAGCGCAGCTGTCACATGTACTGAGTAAATGTTCACGTTAGCGCAGCTTCACTGTACCTGAGTAATGTCACGTGTAAGCGCACTGCAACTGTACTGTGTAATATTCACGTTAGCGCGCTGCACTGTACTTAGTAATGATTCACGTTTATGCGCCTCTCTGCACTGTACTGTGAGTATGTCATCGTTAGCTCAGCTGCACTGTACTGTGTAATGTCAGGTTAGCGCAGCTGCACTGTACTGTGTAACGCCAGTTAGCCAGTTAGCCAGTTAGCTCACGCTGCACGGCTACTGTGGAAACTCAGTTGTATCTCAGCTGTACTGTACTGTGTAACACCAGTTAGCCAGTTAGCTCAGCTGTATGTTGTTGGGGACGTGTTACTGTATGTGTGACTGTGAAGCAGCAGACGATGCCACGCCCCCCGACCTGGAGAAGACCCTGGAGCTGATTCGCTACCTGGTCCCAGAGGTGTTCAATGGGGCACTGGTGGACTCTCTGTCGGGCCCACGCCCTGTCCGCGTCCCCCGGATTGGCCGGCCTCCTTTTCTCCTGGGAGTGGGATCGAGCCACTATCTGCCACCCCCGCCTCTCTCTATCTGTTCAGGCTTATCAGAGCCAAGAAACCGGAGTGGTTACTGTCCTGTTGGCCTGGGCTCAATGAATTCTCTGAACTAACCTTTCTTTATATTATATAATTTTTTGGTGGTCAATCACTTGGTGGTCAAGATGATACATTGTAAATCAGAAATATAAAAAAACACATATCTCCATTTTGCAATCGAGATCGAGAACAGTAGCATTGTGCAAATACACCCGAACGGGTTCCTTTGCTTTCTCGACTCACCTGAGCTCAGTTCTAACCGAAGAAAACTGATTTTACACAGTGATAGACAGATTTAAAAAGAGGATATAAAAAGAGGAGGTTGTGTTTCAGGGATTTTCTACAGGCTTGGCTCTCTTCTCGTGCCCAGTTGGGTGTCTGCTGTCTGGTTGACTTCCCCTACAGATCCTCCTGTCTGCTGTCTGGTTGACTTCCCCTACAGATCCTCCTGTCTGCTGTCTGGTTGACTTCCCCTACAGATCCTCCTGTCTGCTGTCTGGTTGACTTCCCATACAGATCCTCCTGTCTGCTGTCTGGTTGACTTCCCCTACAGATCCTCCTGTCTGCTGTCTGGTTGACTTCCCCTACAGTTCCTCCTGTGATTTCTTCCTCAACTGGATTTATGGGTCTTAGCAGCAGTAGCTTCCATAATTAACTCTTTATGACTTAGAGTAATTGATAGAAGTGGGTAACAAACAGTCCTTAGAGTAATTGATAGAAGTGGGTAACAAACAGTCCTTCGATAATTGTAGAAGTGGGTACCAACATCCTTCGAGTAATTGAACGGAAGTGGGTAACAGCAGTCCTTAGAGTATTTTATTAGAAGTGGGTACAAACAGTCCTTAGAGTTGTGATATAAGTGGGTAACAAACAGTGTCCTTAGAAATCAATTGATAGAAGTGGGTAAACAAACAGTCCTTAGAGTAATTGATAGATGTGGGTAACAAACAGTCCTTAGAGTATTGATAGAAGTGGGTAACAAACAGTCCTTAGAGTAATTGATAGAAGTGGGTAACAAACATCCTTTAATTAATTGAGAGATGTGGGTAACAAACAGTCCTTAGAGTAATTGATAGAAGTGGGTAACAAACAGTCTTTAGATTAATTGATAGAAGTGGGTAACAAACAGTCCTTAGAGTAATTGATAGAAGTGGGTAACAACAGTCCTTAGAGTAATTGATAGAAGTGGGTAACAGACAGTCCTTAGAGTAATTGATAGAAGTGGTAACACAACTCAGTCTTTAGATTAATTTAGGATGTTGGAGTAACAAACGTCCCTTAGAGTAATTGATAGAATGGGCTAACAAACCAGTCTTAGAGTATTGCTAGAATGTGGGTAAAGACAGTCCCTTAGAGTAATTGATAGAAGTGGGTAACAACGTCTTTAGTTATTGAGATTATTGTCGGGTAACAAACCCGTCCTAGAGTACTTGATAGAGAGTGGGTAACAACAGTCTTTAGATTATTGAGAGATGTGGGTACAACAGTCTTAGAGTAATTGATACGAGTGGGTAACAACATCTTTAGAGTTAACTTGAGATCATGTGGTAACAAACAGTCCTTAGAGTATTTGATAGAAGTGGGTAACAAACAGTCCTTAGAGTATTTGAGAGATGTGGGTACAACAGTCCCTTAAGTAATTGATAGAAGTGCGGTAAACAAACAGTCTGTTAGATTACATTGAGAGATGTGGTACAAACAGCCTTAGGTAATTGAAGAAGCTGGGTACAAACGTCTTTAGATTAATTGGAGATGGGTTAACAAACCGTCCTTAGAGTATTGGATAGAAGTGGGTACAAACATCCTTTTTAGATTAATGATTAAATGGTAACACAGTCTTAGAGTAATTGTATCGAGTGGGTACAACCAGTCCTTAGGAGTAATTAGATAGAAGTGGTCAACAGTCCTTAGAGGTAAGTTGATGAAGTGGGTAACAAGACGTCTTTATATTAATTGATAGAAGTGGGTAACAAACAGTCCTTAGAGTAATTGATAGAAGTGGGTAACAAACAGTCTTTAGATTAATTGAGAGATGTGGGTAACAAACAGTCCTTAGAGTAATTGATAGAAGTGGGTAACAGACAGTCCTTAGAGTAATTGATAGAAGTGGGTAACAAACAGTCTTTAGATTAATTGAAAGAAGTGGGTAACAAACAGTCCTTAGAGTAATTGGAGATGGGGCGGGTCAACACAACATTCCTTAGAGTAATTGATAGAAGTGGGTCAGACTCTACCTGTTTGATCAATATTACCTGTCTCTGACGTGATGACTACGTTCACTGATTCTTTCTCAAGACCTGGGCTGTATACATTGTAATAATGCAGTTATTCCATAAAATTGTTTCTTATACTTGGGGAATATTGTATATAGATGCAAATAATTAGTATTTTATTGATTTTGTTTTATTATTATATTTTATTTGTTTATTTGTCAGGGATCAAGCAACACACAAAATTTGTCTCCTGATTCTACGCTACCTCTGTTTCCAATCTCCAGGGGGCAATCCTCTCTAATGTTAAGGGATGATTGCTTGTTACTGGGTTTTGTGGCCATGCTGACTGAGTGATCTCATTCCCTTTCCACAGGACTGTACTGAATGGTTCCTCTCCTTTCTCTCTCCATGCATCTCTCTGATCACCCCTCTTTTTCAGCCCTTCTCTCTCGTCACAGTTCTCCGTGCTCCCTGCTACTGGAGAGTGAGTGTCCTTTGCGGTAACCTCGTCTTCCTTCACCTCTCCTTTTAGTCCCTGCCACCAAGCTGACCACTCTGATGCGCCCTACAGCTGGACCCTGCCACTGCAAGTATGACCCCTTTCAACTGGGTGTTATTCGAAGATTGTGACGGAGGCCAACTTGAGAGTGAGTATCAGTCACCACAATGTCGTGATATGACTTTCATTCATCTGATGACTGTTATTTATCGAATCAACTAACTATTTTTAATTGTTACCCAATTAAATGAATCATGTAACAACTAACTCATTATGAATTTTGGGGAATCATGGAAGAAGTTGTTTAAAGAGTTACCCTCTCCCGATTAAACTCATAAGATCTTTACCTATCACATCCAAAACAGTCAATGTATAAATTCATAACGTTCCATCACACTCATCAGTCTGAACAGTTTGCAACCTTCTTGATCGGCAAAACCCCAGCCTTACTCATGCTTCAGTACTAACCAAATTTGTTTAATTATTTTTTACCTAAGTTACTAAATAATACACAGAATTAGCTACACACTTATACATGAGTGAAAACAATTCCACCTTGTCTGACTAACACAACATGAACTTATCGGTCTTTGTTTTAAGAGAGAGAGAGATGAGAGGAGAGAGAGACGAGAGAGAGAGAGAGAGAGAGGGAGTCCCACCGCTCGTACTCTCTCTCTCTTCTCTCTCTCTCTCTCTCTCTCTCCGCTCTCTCTCTCTCGCTACTCTCTTCTCTCGTCTCTCTCTCGATCTTCCTCCTCCTCTCTTCCTCTCCATAGGATAGAGAGGAGCAGAGATACAGAGTGCGACAAGATACCATATAGAGAGAGAGAAACACTTATCGTTGATACATTTGAAAACTACTCTCAAAGTAATCATAATACTTTGCACACGAACCACCGCCCGTTTGGAGTAAGAAATCATGAATGTATTTACGTGTGGATGCCTTTGTTTGTCGTCTATCTCTGTCGAACCCAAGCCCTCTGGGAAAGGCGCTTTTGTCTGGGTCTTCACTCAGCTCACTTGGAAGGCTCTGATTGTCCACAAGAGGTCACAATGTCCTTCTTCTTAGTTGTTCCTGGTCTGTAGTGGGTGTTTCTTTAGAACAGCTACTTGGCTGTACCAGTGATTGTCTGAGAGGGGAGCTTTCTTCTCCTCTCCACCCGTGTGGTTAGAGTTTGAACCACTTTATACGCACAGCTGCAGCCTGACAATGTTTCGGGTCTGGTTTGGGAGGTGATCTTCTTCACCTCGTGTTGAGGTTCAAACCATTTCAAACGTGTAGCCAACGCTCCACACTTTCTGGTCTGATGTTAATTTCTTAACCTATCCTTTTATACACTCTGGGTAAAAAGGGGCGTTCCGTCATGCTGACAGGCTCTCTGAGCTCACTCGGGGCGTGGCTAGTTACTGTGCAAAGCTTATATGAAAAACAATTATCTCATTAGAAAACTAAAATCACCTTCCTATCTTAACAAAGATACTTTCATCATTTTTCATATTATATACACAACATATTGGATGAAAACTTGACAGATAAAGGGGATATACTTTCCAAGTTACAGTATTTTCAAGATACCATTCTTAATATGACATGATTATTATTTTGATCCCCACTTACCATTCCCAACATTCTTATCTTAGAAATATTGTTCCAGTATTCACTTTTTGGATGTTAGAGTTTTGGGCGGCAAAAGTCTCTGGAGACAAAGGACATTCCTTTAGCCAATACTGGAGGGCAAAGAGAGAGTCCTCTCCTTAAATTTATGACAGGGTGTGAGGTGTCAACAAAAAAAAAAACTCCCGTCTTCTGTGGATGGGAGAGGCCTGGTTACTGTCAACCATTGCCAAGCTGATCTGATTCATTGGAACCTCACACAGGACAGTCATGACAACAATCACAACCAAAGGATTACACTGACTCAGAGACTCAGAGACTCAGACACACAGAGACACAGATACTCAGAGACACAGATACTCAGAGACTGGTGGTTGCAATGGTAAGCCTGTTATGTACTTCAAACATCTTGATTTAATGTATATTAACACAGTGGAATGTTGATGCAAGAACCAGAGTAAAAAACAACAACAATATCATCATCAGCAGCATTAACGTCATTCAGAACGTATTGGCCGATGTGAAATCAATGAAAGGCTTGTTATTGCCCTACAGCTACGTCCCAGCAGGAGTTGACCATAGAGGAGGCATGCCTTGCCATGGGACATTCATGCTGCACCAGGTAAGTCATTCAGGGAATTGAAAGATAGTTATGATTGAACTGATTTAATAATATATAATAATAAAATAGGAGACAGGTTAAAGAAGGATTTTTAATTGAGACAATTGAGACATGGATTGTGTGTGCCATCTCTCTTATTCAATCTCCCTCTTATTCAACCTCCCTCTTATTCAATCTCTCTCTTATTCAATCTCCCTCTTATTCAATTTATCTTATTCAATCTCCATCTTATTCAATCTCCCTCTTATTAATTCTCTCTCTTATTCAATCTCCCTCTTATTCAAACTCTCTCTTATTCATTCTCTCTCTTTCTCTCTTTCTCTCTCTCTCTCTCTCTCTGTGTCTCTCTCTCTCTGTCTCTCTCTCTCTCTCTCTCTCTCTGTCTCTCTCTCTCTGTGTCTCTCTCTCTCTGTGTCTCTCTCTCTCTGTGTGTCTCTCTCTCTCTGTCTCTCTCTCTGTGTGTCTCTCTCTCTCTCTCCGCCCCACCAGGGTATCCAGAGGAGAGTAACTGTGACAATCGTTCATGAGACAGGTGAAGACATCGTGTGGAAAGACGTCCAGGAGCTGGTTGTGGGTGAGTCAGGCTCACATTGAAGTGGACGGTGTGTGTATGTTTGTTGTGTGTGTGCATGTGCCTGGGTGTGTGTTATCTTTGTGAGTGTCTGTCTCTCTGTGTGTGGTTGTGTGTGTGTTTTGAATACATTGACATTTTAGTCATTTAGCTCATACGCATTTAATACCAACATTTGCCGTATGTAAGTCCTCCTCCTCTTCTTCATCATCCTCCTCCTCCTCCTCTTCCTTCTCCTCCTCCTCCTCTTCCTCCTCCTCCTTCTCATCTTCCTCCTCCTTCTCTTCCTCCTCCTCCTCCTCTTCCTCGACTCCCCAGGGCGTATCAGTAACTCTCCCGAGGGGGACGATGCCATCATAGACCCCAACATCCTCTCTCTCAACATCCTGTCAGCTGGGTATGTCAGACCCATGCAGGACGACAGGTATGTGCCATATTCTACCCTTCATAGGGACCCAATCACCCACGGCTCACCCATAGCTCACCCATATGTCACTAGGAATTCAAAACTGTAAATGCACGATCACTATGGCGATGCTACCATATATAACTACTGAACACAACCTCCTAAGGCACTGCAGTTCACTACCATATATAACTACTGAACACAACCTCCTAAGGCACTGCAGTTCACTACATCACTAGTAATAGCACTATAGTTCAGCCTAAAGAACTGCAGTTCATTCAGTATATGCAGACTGTGTATCTGTAGTTTACAGTCTGCTCTCTCTTGATATATAATAATATAATTGGTCATTTAGCAGACGCTCTTATCCAGAGCGACTTACAGGAGCAATTAGGGTTAAGCGCCTTGCTCAAGGGCACATCGACAGATTTTTCACCTAGTCGGCTCGGGGATTAGAACCAGCGACCTTTCGGTTACTGGCACAACGCTCTTAACCACTAAGCTACCTGCCGCCCTATGACTCTACACCATTTATAGAAAAGCTTGTAGACATTTGAAACAAAGAAGATGCTGCTGTATTGGTGGACTGAAGATGCTGCTGTATTGGTGGACTGAAGATGCTGCTGTATTGGTGGACTGAAGATGCTGCTGTATTGGTGGACTGAAGATGCTGCTGTATTGGTGGACTGAAGATGCTGCTGTATTGGTGGACTGAAGATGCTGCTGTATTGGTGGACTGAAGATTCTGCTGTATTGGTGGACTGAAGATGCTGCTGTATTGGTGGACTGAAGATGCTGCTGTATTGGTGGACTGAAGATGCTGCTGTATTGGTGGACTGAAGATGCTGCTGTATTGGTGGACTGCACAGTGCTCCATGGCTAATACATAGCAGCCTTAGCAAGGACGCGTGAAGCTCACGTCGTCAAGATGCACAGCTTGGCTGATTAACAGACTTCCCCCCTCAATCCCCTCTCCTGTTCGACTGAAGCAGCTGATGCTTGGCTAAACAACATGTGGTTTTATCAGTCTAGAAGCAGGTCACATGATCATTTGTAGAAAGCAAAGATTGTGACTTGAAGTACAAATGATATCAGATTGATTATGATCAATCATTAAGCCGTTATGATCAAATATATTTGTAGTAGTTCTACTGTATGATTACATTTTATGCTTCAGCCAGTTCTATTGGAGTTTCCTCACCACTATACCGGTTGTACGACCCTCCCGTTCCTTGATGCTAGTCTGCTGCTCTGCTTTGAATGTCCGTCTGTCATTCCACCTCTCACCCTGTTCACCGCATAATCCTCCCCTCTAACCATTATCCACCACTAACTAACCTCCCAGGGTTATTCTGTACCATGTCAGAAATCTCTATCCAACACCACACTATGGCTGTATTAACTGCATGCTATGGCACAAAGGCACCTGCAAAGGATTCTTAGCAAAACTGAACATGCCCTCTTCTCTTGGTGGCCTCTGTAGCATAGATCCCTAGACCCTGTGGAGGAAGGGCTTCTTGGTGGCCCCACAGCATAGATCCCTAGACCCTGTGGAGGAAGGGCTTCTTGGTGGCCCCACAGCATAGATCCATAGACCCTGTGGAGGAAGGGCTTCTTGGTGGCCTCTGTAGCATAGATCCCTAGACCCTGTGGAGGAAGGGTTTCTTGGTGGCCTCTGTAGCATAGATCCATAGACCCTGTGGAGGAAGGGTTTCTTGGTGGCCTCTGTAGCATAGATCCATAGACCCTGTGGAGGAAGGGCTTCTTGGTGGCCTCTGTAGCATAGATCCCTAGACCCTGTGGAGGAAGGGCTTCTTGGTGGCCCCGCAGCATAGATCCCTAGACCCTGTGGAGGAAGGGCTTCTTGGTGGCCCCGCAGCATAGATCCCTAGACCCTGTGGAGGAAGGGCTTCTTGGTGGCCCCGCAGCATAGATCCCTAGACCCTGTGGAGGAAGGGCTTCTTGGTGGCCCCGCAGCATAGATCCCTAGACCCTGTGGAGGAAGGGCTTCTTGGTGGCCCCGCAGCATAGATCCCTAGTCCCTGTGGAGGAAGGGCTTCTTGGTGGCCCCGCAGCATAGATCCCTAGACCCTGTGGAGGAAGGGCTTCTTGGTGGCCCCGCAGCATAGATCCCTAGTCCCTGTGGAGGAAGGGCTTCTTGGTGGCCCCGCAGCATAGATCCCTAGACCCTGTGGAGGAAGGGCTTCTTGGTGGCCCTGCAGCTGACGGACAATCTTTTATCCTAATTGGCCTCACCCTCTTGCATAGTATCTAATGATGAGATATACTGTACACCCTGCCATTTCAAGACCACATATCCACTCACTGGCATGCATCCCTAACTAACTCACTCAGCATAGTAAGTCACCATACCTCAGTGAGTCCCTGAAGCAGCGTAGCATCATGATGTGTTACACTGAAGCACATCACTGTAATGCCTTGTGTTAGTGTTTACTCTCTGGTTGTATCCATGTAATATAAATGTTGTTTTTTACAGAATAATGTAACTGTCGTGACCTCCTCTCCTATGGTTTAACCACACTGCATTGCTAGTAACCTTTCCCCTAACTCAAATACCATTCCTCAGACCTGGGTTTGCTGGCCATCACAAAGGACCAATACAGGAACAGAGGCCCGAGACAGACTATTGCAGTGGTCTGTCTGGTCCTAATGGCCATACCATCTCCATATACAGGTATCACCGTGGTTCTGTACTCGTTGACCTCCAACCCAGGATGTTGCTTTGGTTGGAAAGGTCTTCCTGAGTGGAGGGGAGAGTCCAGCACCAGTGCAGAGTGTAGGATGGTCCAATTCAGATCTGGGTTAAAATAGTTTTTTTGTTTCTGTCAAATACTTTGAGCGTTTGATTGATTCTGCCTGCCTGGATTACCAGAAGGGTTTGCACTTGAACAGATGCTATTTGAACCCATATGTGGTCTAGTCTGGGCTTTGCTCAGGCCTGAGAGGTCATCAGTAAGGGACATGCTGATGCTGACATTTCTCTCCCTCCAGTCCACTCCACTAACACAATGTTGTTTTGTGTTTTCGCAGACAGTTTCTTGATTCGGACATGCCTAGGTATATGATTTATATCAAATCCCTCTCCTCCCATTCTACTAATCAGTTAGATAACACATCTCCTATTCAGTATCTATTTTACTCTTTTCACTCTCACTCCATTTTAAACACTAGTCATCCATACATCCATCATTACAATTCCCATCATTTTCCACTGTGGGTTTTGGCTCTCTTGCTCTCTCGTCCTCTCTCTGGCTCTCTCCTCCTCTCTCTTGCTCTCTCCTCCTCTCTCTTGTTCTCTCCTCCTCCCCTGCTTTTTTCTTCTTTATTTTTTGTTTCCTTATCACTCTCCTCCTGAGGAGATGTGAGGGACTGTGATGTATATTTGCACTCCTCCTCTCTCTCTCTCTTTCTCCTGGATGTGTGTTTGTTGCTGAGCTGTTGTGGGTCTGGAAGCTGGAGCTGAGGGCTGGAGACTGGGGCTGGCTGGGACTGCAGGGTCTGGAGTTGAGTCTGGGGCTGGCTGGGACTGGCTGGGACTGCAGGGTCTAGGATTGCGACTGAAAGCTGATGGTGTACGGGGGCTGCATGTATGGCTTGCTTTGCTTCCTACAGTATGTGCTGAACTTGGCTGGCTGTTTCTTTGTGTTGTGGGGCCAGTATTTCAGCTTCTGTCTACTCTTTGGCCGGTGCTTCTGTATAGGGACGTTTTCAGTACAAGCTGCAAGCCAGAATCTAGACATTTGAGGGTCCTTTTGATGAGGTGAAACAAACATGAATTGTTTGGCATTTTCCCCATTTACTGTTTCTCCCTCTCTCTTTGATGATCTTTTTCAGTCACAAACCTCTGCATTGTCACTAGGGGGCAGTAATGATCCAGTTCATACTCTGACACAGAACAGGTTTCAGTTTGCGTCCTGCTGAAAGACCTATAGCGTTGATAAAATCATAAAAATATATTTTTTTAAACAACTTGTAAACATTGTAAGGAGGCCCAACATAATCTTAACCTTTGGTATAAAGTTATGCAATCGACTTCTTTTGAAAACACTCGAGGCTTTAGAAAGAGATATGCAAGAAGCTGATAGTGCCAGGGGGGGGGAGGTTTCAATTCTCCTCATTAGGAAATACGACCTAAAATGCGATTTGGGTCTTGGAGTCGAGCTTTGATGTGTGTGTCTCTTGTATGTCTGTTAGAACTTGGGAAGCATGTGTACTTCCACTCTGCCAAAACAGTACACAGTTACAGTCACTCACCCTTCAGGTAGCTGCGGCGGCAGGTAGCTTAGTGGGTAAGAGCGTTGTGCCAGTAACCGAAAGGTCGCTGGTTCTAATCCCCGAGCCGACTAGGTGAAAAATCTGTCGATGTGCCCTTGAGCAAGGCACTTAACCCTAATTGCTCCTGTAAGTCGCTCTGGATAAGAGCGTCTGCTAAATGATGTAAATGTAAAATAATTTGAAACAGTCTAACCAGGTCTTGTGTCTGGAAGCAGCCTAGACTAGCTAGTGCTAGCCAACTTCTTTCGCCAATTAGCTCCATCAGGCCGGTGTGCGACCCCCGTGGCAAAGTTGGTTTGACTTTGGATAGCCTATCTCTGGGGCTAGTTAGGGGCCGTCAATAGATTACACAATGTAAATGGGAAATATGTGACTCGTTTCAGGAAGCTAGCCATATGTCGCGCATCACTACTTCACAGGAGAGCCATTTGAACGTAAACTTGTTTTTAAAAATCTAAATGCGTTTTTTGGCAGAAATGCCTTCTGTGAACTTTCATGTGCCTTAATAACAAACTTTTATGCCATCTGTAAATACCAATACAATTGTTAAATTAAGAGCTGAGATAATGGATGGGTTGGACATGCCGAGAGATGAGTTCAGATTGGTCTGCCATGTAGCACACTTCTGTCTATAACATGAGCTGGTCAGTCTGTGTAGGTAATCCTTTCTAACGCTGCTTTTTTGAAAGATATCACGTAGTAGAACTGCAAAAGTGTTGC